TGACTGAATATCGTCGGTCAGTCAGTCGATGTCGGACGACAGTTAGTCAAATAGTAAACTATCAGCGACCACAACTAGATTTACTCTGCGTTATACCTATTATATGAAGTTCCTAACGTTTTGTACGTCGAACCTATTTTAGGACCGACTTAGTACAAAAACAAGCCTCCACTGTGAAATCACTCCACAACATTTACACAGGCACAATTATTTTAGTAATGTTCTGTTTATAATAAACAGTATTAACAACATTTACCGGTCTGAACGTCCGAGAAATTTTCATAGAAAATATTTCAGTTTACGTTTAGATAAGCTTCGAGCAGATATGAAAGTTCGACGGAAACCATAGAAAATTGTAGTTTAAAAGCAGTAAAATGCAACTTTCTATCCAGATACTCCTCTGTAGCTAAACTGGTATAGCACGTTAGGCTATATTACGGTTCCGTGTAGGAAACAGGTTCGATTCTTGTCGGAGCACAAATATTTTCTGTGAAAATATCTCGGATATTCAGGTCGGTGAATGTTGTTAATATTATTTATTTAAACAGAGCATTTACTTAAATAATTGTGTCTATATAAATAACGTATAACGATAAAATATATTAAAAAATAATTGTCGGACTTTGTCCAGTTCGTATTGTACGACATTATATATGTAAAATGTATTAAGTAGAACATGTATATTTTAAGATTCTCTTCGCTTTATAAACAGGATTGAATTCATCTTCGAACAAATAGAATGATCTTTTCATCCACTTCGTTTCCTCGCATTACCCTATTTTCCCTTCGTACGTCACGCAGTATTTTCAGTTTCAAATTCTCACGAGAGTCGTTTTTCCGTCGTCATCATTATATGCTCTTTTCTCTTCATCTTTTCTCTATTTAGCATTTCAATCACGTGACTTCCGTCTGTTTTTTTTTTTTTTTTTTTGTTGATAGCTAACTTCACCTTTGCTTCTCATACCGCTTATATATTCACCACACATTATGTGAGATAATTATTACAAATGAATGATTCATGTTTCATTTTCATTTAATTAATATCTTTTCACATTTTACAACCTAATTAAATCAAGGCTAGATCGATCTCTCTCTTAACTTTGAACTATCGGCAATAGTTATCTTTCAAATTTCAACTGATCTTGCGGGAAAAGGAACACTAAACATAATTTCGGTTCGTGTTTGCGAGATTGGTGGAAAAAAAAGCCGCTAATTTTGACTAAAGGGATAAAACAATTGAACGGTACAAGTGGGTTGCTTCCCGGTGTAGTAATGGTTAACGAAGTGATCAGTGTGTTCATCAGTACACAGTAGTGAGTTCGTTTCTCACTGGTTGCTTTATTCTTGTGATTGGTTGGCTGATTTTGTTTGGTGGCATATCAACATCTCTATGGGTTATTTAATGCAAAACATTTTGAAAGCAATTGTTCCTCTTCAACTAGAAATAAAATGTATTATTGGTCATTTTATTATAAAATGTACTGTTGGTTATTTTACTATGAAATTTACTATTAAATTATGAAAAGGCAAGTACATTAATCAGTAAGAACTTGAAGTATTTATACTTTAGGTGCCTTCAATTCTGAAATAGAATTATCCAGATTTTCTCGGTTAATATTGTTACTTTAAAACAAAATAGGATATATTTTAAGCGAAACATGGTAGGGCGTTAATCACTCCTGTATATTGAAAACAAATACTTCACATTGTAATGAAATCATTACACCAATAATTGTAATAAGAAATTTAATATCTGTTTCTATTTACACTATTTACATTGTTGGATCTGTTGTCCTCATCTTTATTGCCATATTCACCTTCAACATCTCTCTCTATTTCTCAGATGAGGAATTGTAACTATTTACACTATTTACATTGTTTGGACTGTTGTCCTCATCTTTATTGCCATATTCACCTTCAAAATCTGTCTCTATTTCTCAGATGAGGTATTGTAAATATTTACACTATTTACATTGTTTGGACTGTTGTCCTCATCTTTATTGCCATATTCACCTTCAACATCTGTCTCTATTTCTCAGATGAGGTATTGTAACTATTTACACTATTTACTTTGTTCGGGCTTTTGTATTCATTTTTATTCGCGACGTTTCGGCCTTTGTACGCTTCAAACTTCAGGCGATATACGGTGGAATTTTGAACCGGCCCCTTTATTTTGTCCACTAGGCTAGATTTTTCTAATTCCACCTGTCACGAAACTGATTCAAGGCAGTTAAACAAATATAAATATTTGAGATTAGGAGAAACGAGAAAATGATGTTTGATTATGTCTCCCTATTTAATCGTCAAAGAGAGAGAGAGAGGGAGAGAGAGAGAGAGAGAGAGAGAGAGAAAATTGTTAAAAAATACTGTCATGTTGTTGGCATATAAGACGCCCACACCAATTTACAATTACAATGATATGATTACGAATAGTCTACGTTATTTGGAAAAATATAAGTCGACCAAAGACTGTAAGTTTACAAGCCAAAACAGAAACACTTCGATGTAGTGTAAATGGTTAGCAAGATTGTCTCGCTAGATCACTTACAAGTGAGTTTGGGTTACATTGTGTGCTCCACATTTTCGGCCTTGTGCCACATCTAATCTAAGTTTAGAAAATTACCACCATAGTACACCAGAGAGTTTTAACCATTTTTTAGAAAAAGTGGGCGACATGCTATCAAATTCCGTATGGTTACCGTAATGGTAAAATCAATGGCAAAGCTGAATACATCCATTTCCATAAAGGAAATATCTGGAATTTATTGATGAAACAGATAGTGTTAATGTCCACTGAAATTTATAAAACTTTTCTCGAAAAAAGGTGTTTCTTTTCTTAAGAATTTATACTTTTCAAGTTCACTATTATAGCTAACTGCTTCTAGTACTGATGACAGTTTCCTTTCAAAGGTTTTGTTTAAGTTAGTATGGAAAGTTAACATCGTGATTATAACAGTATTTCCCCCCTTCTACTTAGATGGGCTACCAATTTGATTGTTGCTGCTGTTTGATGTGTTTAAATGAGTAACAGAACTAATTTCAACTCAGAAGTAATTTTACCACAGAATTAATTTCAACTCGGAACTAATTTCAACTCGGAAATAATTCCAAATCGGAAATAATTTCAACTCGATTTAAAATCAAAATTTTTAAATTTCCGTGAATTCCTAAACAAAATACAATGAGTTGGTGTTATTTTTTTTTGTTTTTATTTAGCATTAAAAATTCTTAGTAGATGAGATAATTTAGAATTCATCTTTTCTGCCACTTTCGTTCTTTTTTTGTTTCAAATGAATAAAGTGGTACGTTTTATTTCCTTTTATTTCCTTTTATTCATTTAAATCTGATCCAATAAAAATGCCATGTTCTTTGTAGCAAGAACAGTAGATTGCTTAACTGTTACTTTGGGGGGGGGGAATAGTCTCCTTTAAAAGAAGCTGTTATTCATCAAAATTCTAGAAAATCGATAAACTAAATTTTAATTTCGTTTGAAACCTTCACAGATTTATTAAAATTTAAATCTGTGTACTGAGGATTTCACAGATTTCACATTCGTAAATAGAGAACACACAAAACTTACAAATTACAATGTAAAAAATAAAACAGTTTCAAAACAGGATATGACGCTTTGTGCTATGCGGCACAATAGTTCAAAGTGTAAATTAATTCTGCATTCCGTTTAAATGATGCGATTTTGTTCTTTGATAAAGCAATTCGTATGGAGAGTCTGAGAGGAGTATTGTCTTCTTTATGACCAAGAGAATTTAATCATTGATTTGAGAAAACGGTTGTATGTAGATAATAGTTTATTTCGGAAATTTTTGGAACCAATGTATGGCATCCACATAAGAGTTTAAACCTGAAAAGGATATTTAAGGGGTCAAACATTTCTTACCTAAAAGAAGAAAGTCTAAACAAACGGTGTTCCTTGGCATTTCATTAAAAATGGCATTGTAACATTATTTGGACTATTGTCCTCATCTTTGTCGCCATATTTATCACAACGTTTCGGCCGTTGTACGTTCCGGCCTTCTGCAGGTGGTGGGAAAGCCGAACTGAACCATTTATTTCACTCACTGGGGTAGAACGTTCTAGTTCCACGTGCAATGTCTAATGGATGTCATTTATCAGTTATCTCCTGTTAATTCCCCTCTCCAAGTTCTCCACCGCCTTTACCAGGTATCGAACGCAAACACTTTGTGTTTAGTAACTGGATTTAACTAACGCCTTTATCCACTGTGCCATGGGTCCTTGAGGACATATAGCACACTGAAAAATATGGCGACAAAGATGAGTACAATAGTCCGAATAATGTCTAATCGTGTACATAATACCTCATCTCAGAAATATAGACAGATACTGAAAGGCCGAAACGTTGTAATAAATATGGCGACAAAAATGAAGACAATAGTCCGAATAATGTAAATAGTATACATAATACCTCATCTCAGGAATATAGACAGATACTGGCATTGTAACATATTTGCCAAAACTATAATAATTTAAGTTTCGTACAGAAAATGTTAAGTTTGATGGCTGTGCAAAAACCATAGGATTAGCACAGTGGCATAGAAAGAAAATCAAATTATTCATCTAATTTCCTGAAGGACGATTGGAAATTGGATTTATTAAGTGCTAGCGATTCCGACCGATTTTTCGGCGTGAAGCTTATTGGAAATTTAGCCTCAACCATTCCAAAAAAGAAATTAACAAGGAAAACGGTGACTTGTTCCTATGTATTTAAAAAGGTTAGCTTTGTTTGACACAAGATCAGAAGGGCGGCGCGCCCAATGAGGATACACGATACAGTAATAATGATAAGCAAGATTAACTCACTAAACACGGAGAGGTGCCCAAAAGAATCAATGATTAAATCTGTCGCTTCGAAGTAAAAAAGAAGACACAAAACCGAAATCTATTTTAAAGAAATATTTACTTTTCAATATAATCTGTGAAAATGTTCTTGACCCCACGTTTATCATTTAATCAAGGCAATCGGAATGTATGTCGTCGAAATGAAGAAACTTTCAGCGATCGTTAGGGAGGACGAATGTGAATTCGAATTAGTCATCGAGTCAAAGCTTAAGTTACTGCAACCTCAAGAATATACTCTTCATGTTGATATTTTACTTCTTCTACGTGGACGGTCAAGGCTCTCCACAATTTTCTGTCTTTTGTAACACTTTTTAAAGTCTGTCTTTTTGCCATCTCTTTTAATCCTCGTTTTGCCAAACATTTACACAAGCTCCTTCCTCTTTCTTTCTCTTCTTTTTTTTCTTCTGCTTCTTCTTCTTTTACTTCTTCATCTATCTACCGTGTCCCTTTAGGGAGTGATCGATCATGGCTCTCCACAATTTCCTTTTCTGTGTAGCTCTTTGTTAAATTTGTTTTATTTTTGCTATCTCTCTTGATGCCTGTTTTGTCAACCATTTACACAAGATCGTTCTTCTTCTTCTTCTTCTTCTTCTTCTTCTTCCTCCTCCTCCTACTCTTCTTCTTCTTATCCTCCTTCTCCTCTTCTTCTTCTTCCTGCCCTCCTCCTCCTTCTTATTCTTATTCTTCTTCTTCTTCCTCCTGCTCTTCTTCTTCTTCCTCCTCCTACTCTTCTTCTTCTTATCCTTTTGCTCTTCTTCTTTTTCTTCTTCTTCTTCTTGCCCTCCTCCTTCTTCTTCTTCTTCTTCTTCTTTTACCGTGTCCTCTAAGTACATGGGCGATCATCACTCTCCACAACTCATTGCCTTTTATAGTAAAGGTTTTCTTTTTATCTATTTCCTCTAATCCCTGTTGTGCCATCCATTTACGCAAGCTCACCAGGTAGGTTACTAGTTGCTTTCCTGTATGCCTGTCGTCTTCAATATGCCTTGTGCGTATCAAATTTCTCAAGCCTTCTTTCCTCATTTTGTGCCCTAAAATGTCAATTGCCTCTTCCCGATTCGATGCACAAACATTCATTTTAATTTCATTTCACTTCCTCGTTACTCATATACTTCGTCCATAGTATTCTCAGCATCCTTCTGTAGAATCACACTGCTGCTATCTCAATTCTCTGGACTGATGTTCCTACCAATAAATGTGAATAACAGTGTAACATTTGACATTTGTCTGTCAACTACGCCAGGATGGTATGGATAACAGAAATTTCAAAAGAACTTGATGAAAAGTTTCCTGAAATGATGAATGGAAGTTTCCGATTCCAAAACAGACTTCAAAAATAGTAAGAGCAATTAACTTTAGACTTTCTAGCGCCCTTGTTGAAACCGGTTTTGGTAGATATTTGCTCAAGGTCTGCGAATATATATCCGCCTCTTGGAAAAACATATGGTTTTCGAAGTAAACATTTGACAAAAACAAAATAATATAACGACAGACCCGTCATGAAAACTGATGATCTCAGCAGATGTTTTTGAGAAGAAATTGTAATTCTGGGAATTCCAAATCAGAAAAGGAAACGAAATCTGCTCAAGGAATCCAAAAGGACTTCGGGAGCATTTAGTGTTGACGAATATATTGCAGAGAACGTTTATTTTGTCTAAAATCCTGTAAAATGCCGAAATATTCCCATATTTGTTTGAACAACCGAATTCGTTGTGTTGTTGATGGCGATTCATCAGTGCTTCAACCGAAGTAAATGGTGGATTTGATCGTCAGAAACTCTTTTGCAAACGTAACAGCATGTTTAATTTTCTGCGTAAATCTTGATATATTCAATTTACTTTAATGTACGCTTAAAGTTGCGTATGTTTTACAATACTGCTTTATTGAAAAACAGGGATATCTTATATATATATATATATATATATATATATATATATATATATATAGTTCACTGCCACTGCACATTATTCAGTTGGGAACAATAATTAAAGATATATTTCCATTAAATATACATACCATAATTGTACAGGGTTAGGGTTACCGCAAGCCTATCTATCTATCTATCTATCTATCTATCTATCTATCTATCTATCTATCTATCTATCTATTTCATTCTCATCATAGCTATCTATCTATTTTATTATCATCATATCTATCTATCTATCTATCTATCTATCTATCTATCTATCTATCTATCTGTTCCATTCTATTCATATCTATTTATTTTACTTCCATCATATCCATCTATCAATCTATCTCATTCTCATTATATCTATCTATTTCATTCTCATCATATCTGTCTATCTATCTATCTATCTATCTATATATATATATATATATATATTTCATTCGCACCATATCTATTCCATTGTCAGCATTTCTATCTATCTATCTATCTATCTATCTATCTATCTATCTATCTATCTATCTTTCATTCTCACCATATTTGCTCAAAAATAAAGATGCCAAAATTCGACATTACCAAGGTTTTTCTAAATCTTCAAAAAATAACAGCAAATCTTAACAAAGGGACAAGGATCTTTAAATTCCAGTAAAGGTTAATTTTAAAATGAAAGTCAATCAAAAGTTATTCATGAAGATGAGAATACAGTCAATATAAGAATTCATCTGAAAGTCTCAGACAAGAATTATGTAAGAATAAAAATGAAAATAGAACTCCTTTCAAAGTATCAGTCAAAAATCTTCACAAAATAATCAATAAACACCAATTTCATATAAAATCTGAAGTCACCCCGTTGTGACATCTAATCAAAAGATAAAATAGATAATTCTTTTGATCAATCATGGAAAGATTCCAATCCGAACATCATTTTCTTTCTTCTGCGTGCTACTGATCATTTAAACTCGTATAGACGTCTCATGTCAGCCTTGGTCCATTTTTATGACATAAATTGATCCGCTTCAGTGTATATTTCCAAAATCAGAAGTGACAGACAATTATTATTATTATTATTATTATTATTATTTAAATAAATGAGAACCAAAATGTCTATCTCTGTCTCGATTAGTCTACGCCCAAACCAGACAGGCAGAATTCGATTGTTCATTACTCATGAAGTGGTCGATTATTTTTCAGACTTCTACATTTATATATTTGGACATTATTTACATTATCTTCAAGATCTATGTTTTGTAAGAAACGTAAAAGAACCTTTTGAGATCATTTCTGGACATGAGGTGTAGGGATACAAAAGGCAATTATCTTTCTTTGGTGGAGATAATTCACGTGGGTCACGTAAAGGCCTTTTAATGATGTCAAGCCATACAGTGTGGAAAGCGTCAGTTAAAATCAGTTTGTTTACAGCAGCCACCATGTGAGGTTGCTTTCTTTGCTAAATATGGCTCCCCAGCACCATACAAGTCCATGATACCGTTTCCCAGATATAGAATAAAACTCCAGTTCGCAGTATTCAATTTTAGAAAACCCAAGACTCGTTGTTTTCCGTTCGTGTAATATGTCATCACCTGGGACATAGATGAATCCGACCCATTAGAATCTGGAGTCCTAAAGATGGCTTCTCCATATATAGGAATATCTCCATATTATATTTTATCAAGTGATGCTGTTGATAAGAGACCAGAAGTGGTGAAACAAAATGGTCACTGTTGTAGTTATAACATCCATATGTTATAAGGTTGAATAAATATTATTTCCTCTACTCTCTATTGAACACACTTTTCATCTACTTTTTACATTCTGCAAATTTGTATATAAAAAATAAATTTGTGTGTTTAATCCTGTTTTTGGTTTTATATATATATATATATATATATATATATATATATATATATATATATATATATATATATATATACCAGAAGCAAATTTTAATGTTTGGGGATTTGATTAGATTTTAGAAAATGATTCGCTCTGAGAAAATTTAAACAGACCTTCGTATAAATTTCAGCACGTTTGCCACTTTTCAAAACAGAAGCCTTGACAGAGTTCAAAAACGTTTCGACCTCATCTGTTTTTATCACTGATTTATCGAGGAAACAGACTGTTCTTGAGTGATCTTTAGCATTTGGCGCCTTTACCCTTGTTTCTAAGCAGGAAAAAATATAGAGATAAATCTCACAAAATCTGAAATGTCAACCAAATGTTTTATTTTTTTTGTTTTGTAATCAATATATGCAAATGGCATTGCCGTCAGCATTTCAATGAGTGATGGTTTCCTTAATGTTGTCACTTTTAAATTCTATTTCTGTACAATCTGCTGCTGTATTCATTCCAGAATATACCACTTGTATTCACTTTTTAATAATAGCCAGTAATTTAATCCGTTAAGATTTTCTCTCAGTTACTAAATGTCAAAATAGTTGGCAATCTTAGCTCAAAAGTCAACGCAGAAATGATGTTCTCTTAGACAGCACGAAATACACAAGAAACATATAAAATCCTATTCCCTTATTATAAGGGTTTCATTTTTTTTTATTTTAGGCTAGAAGATTAATAAAATCAGAGTGGATAAATGAACATTAAATGACAGAATAATAAGTAGAGATCAGACTATAAATTATAGAATTTAAGAACTTTTATAATCCAATAGATGAAATGAAAGAAAGTATTTCAAAGCTTCGAAACGCTGACGAATAATATGTCGCAGAAAAGCAATTAGAAATTATATATATATATGTATGTATGTATATACATATATATGTATGTATATATATATATATATATATATATATATATATATATATCTATATATATATATATGTATGTATATACATATATCTATATATATATATATATATGTATATACATATATCTATATATATATATATATTTATATATATATATGTATGTATATATATATATATGTATATATATATATATATATATATATATATATATATATATATGTATATATATATGTATATATATATGTATGTGTGTATATATATATATTTAAATTTGGATTTTTAATGTAACTATAACAACAAAAAAACATTTCGATTTCATTGGCAAAATTTAAGATTTTTTTCCAATTGTCATTTGATACCAATCTGTCTTGTCCACAGAATTCATCTGGGAATTTAACTATATATATATATATATATATATATATATATATATATATATATATATATATATATATATATATATATATATATATATATTCACTTGTGAATAAATGTTGTTGCTGATTTTTTAGAATGCAATTATTTTTTATATTATTTTAGTTTTGGATTTATTTATGCATTAAATATTTCTTTATATTCATATATTAAATATTTTTAAATAACAGATCATTAATTTATTTATGTATTAAATATTTTTTATATAATATGTCATTATTTTTTAATTATTAAATTTTTTTTTAAATAATAGAATGTCATTAATTTATTTATCTATCCTTTTTAAATAATAGAAGATTATTAATTTATTTATGTATTAAATATTTTTCAAATAATAGAAATTAATTAATTTATCTATGTATTATTTTTTTTAATAATAGAAGATCATTAATTTGTTTTTGTATTCAATTTTTTTAAATAATAGAAGGTTATTAATTGAACAGTTTTCTTTCATTTTTTTTTAACATTTTTATAATCTTGTATGTTAGTTTGAGAAATGAGTGTTTCTTTCAGGAATGGAGATATTTTTTTAAAAAATCAAGGAAACAGATTTATATTTTAGTATGATTCAATAATGACACTCTCAAGTATTTCCCATTTTAGTAAGTTATTTTCTCTTTTAATAAGTCCGACATAATTTAGATCAATTTTTTCCCTAAGAAATTCAAGACACAGATTTATATTTTAGTATGATTCAATAATGACACTCTCAAGAATTTTCTGTTTTAGTAGGTTACTCTCTCTTTTACTAAGTCCGACATACTTTAGATTAAATTTGTTGTTGAATTTATTTCTATATATGACAAACGCATTTGATCTTTTTCTGTTCTTAGATATGTTTTCTTTTTTTTTATTTCTGCAAGTTTCCCCAATGTATTATAAGTGGCAGCTGTGACACTTTATTTTATATATACCTTCAGTATTATTATTGTTATGGAAATTTTTTGTTCTGATCATATCCATAATAGTTTGGCATGTTGTTGTAATTATTTCGATATTGTTATGATTGGATGAATTGTTTTGAATAGTGGATGTTAAGTAGTTAGTCGGTCGGTAGCATTATGTATGTTTTTATCTAGCTTGTCATTGTTATTTATAATGACATTATATTTCTTATTGTATATTTTCTATGCTTTTCTCTTAACGTTTTAGATGAAATAATGGGAATATTTGAAGTTTTAATGTGTTTTCTAAGTATTTTAATCGTATTTCAATTTTTACATATTGACGACATTGGAAACAAAAACATGCATAGACTTCATTAGAAGATGCAAGCAATAATTAATATTCGTACATTGCTGTGGAAACTTTAAAATTGTATTGAAGAAAAAGTGATTCCTCAATGTTCACATAAGCTACTTGAAACTTCACAACATATATTTCCTCTTTATCTACACGAATTCCTAAAATCATCTGAGTATGGTCGGAAGAACAAGTAGCTACTCGAAGTAGAGAGATACCTTAAGGGATAGTTTATGCGGATAGGAAGGGAAAATAACAGTTAACTCTAGACTCGAAAAGGTTAATATTGTAGTGATTGGGAAACATCCCCCTTGTGATTTTGTTCCACAGGGCAGTGAATCCCGACAAGAATATGGAAGGAGTGTGAGTGATTTGCTACTACAATTGGCATGTCTGGTCCTCGCCGTGAAGTCTAGAGCTGGCAGAAACAAATGTTCGGCCGAACAGTTGCGATGAAAGTAGCGATAGAGGAGTGAGTGGTTCGCCATATCCCGCCTGTAAGAGAGAGAGAGAGAGAGGTTGGATGGTTAAGAAGAATTATTTTCCGACAAAGACTCGGGGGCGCTTTTGAAATCTATCACGACTTTAAAGTGATATCTGGGCAGCTCCTGTCCAAATATGGCAACAGTACTCCATTTCCGGTCGGATCTGGCTCTTATAAACGTAGAGGATAGCATGAGGAGTCAGGTACTTACTGGAGCGGTACAGCGAGCCAATCCTTTTACTTACATCTCTAGCGATGGATCGTATATAGGAATTCCACTTGAGGTCAGGTGTGAGTTTGAAGGAACACCCGTTCATCGTGACTGGCGGCAATGGAGTGAACTAAAATCGATCAATTACATAAACAACAAAGTAATCCATAGTTTACGACATAAACTAAAGACATTAGTTGGTACAATTAAATTACCATGCCTTCTCTTCTAATGGATAGCGGCTCGGATTTAGGAATCGGAGGGGCGAGTTCGAAATCCAGTCGAATCCATTGCATTCACTTACGTGCTAATAACCTTGGGAAAGGTATGGATCCTTTTCTTCTTCCCACAGCCATGGGTAAATAGCAGGACAGACAGGACAGGCCGGGTTCTATGGCCTTGGATGGCAAGTGGTCTACCATAGAAAGAAATGGTAACCTACTATG